GGGGAAGTGGAGAAGAATGAAAAGAGAGGAAGGGAAGGGAGGCGGGGAAAGAAGGAGGAATACAGGTAAGGAGGGGGAAGGAGAAAAGGAAGATGAAGGGAGGGAGGGGGGCTTACAAAACTTGTTTGAAAAATATATAAAGTACAGTCAAACCTGTGTAAGACGGCCACCCATTGTCAAGGAGAAAAGTGGTCGTATCAGGCAGGTGGCCGTCTTAGGCAGGACTGATCAAGATGAAGAAAACAAACCATTCCCAATCGAAAGTAGCCTCATTGTTTTTTTTTGTGTGTGTTATTGTTATAAATTGGTTTGTATTTTGTTTTTTATTTTTATTTTGTTGCTGATTTTGTGCAAGGGTGACAATAAAACGAAATGTGTCAGACAAGGAAGACCGAGTGCTATGGTAAAACAAACATATGGGTGGCCACCACTCGGAGAACGAGCGATGCTTCTGTCACAAGTCCATGTTTATGTCCATTGTTACTTTGTTACAGACTGGGTAAACAGTGACCACTCATCTCACTTACGATTTGTGTATGAGTTCTGGGCGGGGCTTATGGGTTATGAGAGATCACACGCTTCCCTCACCAGCAGCTGGAAATTGGTGTCTATTGGTCAACAGTGGGAGGGGCCTACGCAACATGATCGGTTGGAGGGACTACCTAACGACAGGTGATAGGGATTATGACGGCTCGCCCACAACGCCAGGGGTCAATGCACAATTAATGACAAAACGTAATGGAGTCACTAAGACAGGTGTTATTGCTTAGTGTGATAGGGGTTGTGTGTTGAAATAAGGTAGCCGCGGCCGCGTTGGACAGGTGCCCGTTTTACTCAGTTAAATTATATAGAAAAAACGCAAGGGGGGAAATGGAAAGTGGCCGTTTGTACAGGTTGCCGTCTTATAGAGGTGGCCGTCAGGGAAGGTTCGACTGTATTATAAAGCCCCTTTTTTTGTAATTAAAGGTCTTTTCATTAACTGTTGAGATAGTTCTAGGAATTCTGCATCATCAGGGTGTCATTGCTTTATGTTATTCGATAGGTTGATAAGATCTGTGTGTCTTGTGTAGATGTGATTGAGCTCATGCAATGGCTAATTTTTTTCTCTTCCCACAAAAAAGTTGTTTTGTCATGTTGTATATCTTGCCTTTTGAACGTGTGAGGGGCATCTTCGTGTTGTGTTTTTATCGTCCTTCCCGTCTCCCCTTCCTTTGATGCTGTTGGTCATTATGACACCCCTCCCCAGGCACTGCATCTGTATCTTGTCTATTGGCATGTTTAACAGTCCTGTTGAATGTTTTACTCTTTTTTTATTGATTTTATGGCAGTTTGTCTTTCCACCTTTCCGTACTCTGTCTTTTTCTATATATATATATTCAATTTTGCACCCTTATCTGCGGGTGTACACATCTTACCTAGTCAGCATGGCATCTCTAAGTTTTGAGAATATCAGTGGCTCAAAGTGAGATCTCTTTTGTTTATCTTTATCCCCCCAACTCCCACTGTTCAATGGGCCAAAGTGGGTGGTTGGAGGACGCCACTGATTGGTTCTACTTATTTTCTTTTCCTCTGTCGTGTGTGGCTGACTGACTGATGACTGTCTGTCTGTCTGTCTGTCTGTCTCTCTGTCTGTCAGATTGGTCCTACTTATTTTGTTTTTCTCTGTTGTGTTTGTCTCTCTGTCTGTCTGTCAGATTGATCCTTATTATTTTTTTTTCCTTTAGTTGTTTCTGTCTGTCTGTCTTACTTTCTCCCGGCAGTCAATGACCGCTATTGCGTGGATGTGCTTCTCTTTACTCAAACAAACAAGCAGTGGGCAAAATAGCATTCAGATGACCCAGAGGGGGTCGCAGGACGCTGCGAGCTCTGGGTCAGCCCCATCGCCCCCTGTGAGCAACGGGGCAGCTCATGGCAGCGGTGGTGGTGGCAGCCCTGGGCCTGTCAGGTCAGAAGGAATTATGACCCAGGATTCCTCAGCTTTGCAATTTGAATCGTCTCTGCAGGATTCCAAACAGTGAACACCGGTTTCTGTAAATTTTACAGGAGAGTGAACCCCCCCCCCCCCCCCGCCCCCCTCTAAAAATTAAGGCTAACATATACATTTTAGCTGTTTAGACTCCATCCTTGTTGTGACTGTTTGGATAGGTTAATGTGGCTGAAAGTTATAATTATACGATGTATTGTGTGTTGGTCAGTATTCAGGGTAAAAAACAAAACCACATTGTCAGAGTTAGCCTGCTTAGAATCCTGCAGCGAGACGATATGCGGCAGCTCGACAAAATGAGTCACTTCTCATGTAGCAATGGTTGTATTTTATAACTGTTGCTGTCACAGTCAAGTCACATTTTCTGTCTTTTTGAGCTCTACAAGTTATATACATGTAAAAATATAAACTGAAGATATTGGGGATTCTTTTGTGCTAAGAGTTTGCAGAAATGCTGATTTATTTTCTGTAGCCTGAAACCTTTTCACTTTTTGACACAGCCTATAAATCTTTTTTGGGGCTAACTTATACTTTGAGCTGATGTTGTGGTTATTGAAAGTGCTTCAAAGGTATACATTTATTATTTTTCTTTTCATTGACAGAAAGTTAGGCTCTATATCTCAACCTTATTGCTTTTGAGACTCATTTTGTTGTGCTTTAGTGCACTGCATGTTTGGTCCTGCCAGGGAATGGGTTAGGGCTACGGTTTTCTTCTTGTTTGTGTAATTTGTCTATGAACTGGATTAATAAGAACATCAACAACAACATCAACAACAACAACAACAACAACTGGATCTATAACAACGTCTGTGATGCGGCAGCTAAACACCTTTGATAGTACCTACCGGTTGTCTGCATGCTGAAGTAGATCAGCCTGATAATGTCATTGTCTATACTGTACAGTATCACCAGAGCTGACATCCTCCCGATGTACCTGTCATTTCTCACTTTACATAACACATACAAACTTGAGACTTTTTTCACGATGGTCACTCATCGTAGGTACACCCCTGTACACCCGCTCCCGCCCACCCACAGTTGTAAAAGGCTCGTTATTTTTGTTAGTTTTCTTTAGTTACACCTCTTTACAAAATTGATTCTTTCTGCGGCCTTTTTGCTGCTTCTCCTTACTGCTGTCTTTCAGCCCCACTCTTCTGATCTTATGGTAGATAAGATCTGACCCCTAGCCTTCTCGAATAAGGCGAAAAGTCTCGGAGGTCTCGTGTGCGAGTTGCCCACGTTAAAGATCCCTTGGTGGTCCTAGAATTAATAAGAGTAGGCTTTGACCACCACCCGGGCAAAATTTAAAATTCCAACCAAACTGAAAATGTTTTCGTGTGTCCTATGCACTCATACAACCTTATGTAGTTGTGAGTTCTGTAAAATTCTTACCAACACACAAAAACCCTGTAAAAGTTAATGGAATGGTTTTTTTCTGATTATTTTGCATCTTTGCTGACAACAAAAAATTAATAAGCTTTGTTTAAAAAAACCAAATACCCCCCCTCCCCCCAGCCCACATGGAAACAATTTTACACAGAAAATTTACTTAGTATGTTTCTCATGTCTCTTAACTAATGTGACGTTCTTCGACATCTGTCTTTTTTAGAACTTTTCAATCTCTCCGACAACTTAATTCAGTCTTTTTGGGGATGGACGTTTGATTCAGAGGTCCCCCACCTCTTAAATAAATTTGCAATGTTGAAAGAGGCTTGTAAGCCCATACAATTTTCAGTTACATGTTCCCTTGAAGACTATGAGAGATTCCATTACCTGGCATGATGACACCCCCCCCCCCCCCCCCCACCCAAGTATGACTCCTACATGCCACCATTTTATCAGGGCTGCCAACCCCAACCCTTGAAAAGGTGTACTACTGATGTTCAAAAAGTGTAAGATTAAGAAAAAAGTGTACAGTCCCGAAACGGAAGGAAAGTTCATTAGTGAGAGATTCATGCCTAAAACTAATGTACAACTTACATTTTTATCCACACATAGCCTAAAATCTGTATCGCAAATTCTTCTCGGCTGATGTGATTGACTGAACATTGGACAATAGGACGGACAGTTGGCTTTGAAATTGAAATAGGCTGACTCGATCAGTGGAGCTATTTGTCTTAAATTTTGAAGATACAAACAGTATTAATCACGAAAGTAATAGAGTCACACACGATTTCGGCCTCAGTCCTCGGTGCACTGTGTAATAGTATCTGCTTTGAGTATTAGCTGATGACTTTGATGCCAACGCTTTCTACGACTGGCTAACGATAAGTACCGGTCTGGCTCTGTACATTGAGAAAGTGTGATGAAAAGGCGTAAAAGCGTATAATGGCTGAAAAAAGCGTAAGATTATGCTTTATTGACGTAATGTTGGCAGCTCTGTTTTATTCATGATTGCGTTGCTGTGTTTACCATCTTATAATCATTGTTTGAGACCATTATGTATACATAGACTGCTTAATGTAAGGCTCCACCCTATGCCATTGTGAGCGGTCGATATATATATCAGCTTTGTCATTACTAGTGTTCATGGTGGAGTGGTAGGCGTTTCACAGTCTTAGGCAGAAAACCCAAGTTTGATTCCAGAGTAGGGGGAATTCTTATCGAGTATCTGTTTTTTCTGCCAGGACGTTGTTTCCCTCTCGTCCTGAGTTGGCCCTGACAGGCATGGTTGAAGCCTGCTTTCTTAATGATTTAAACAGTGTCGATGGGGGCGTAAAAACAGCTACATTTCAAATAGACTATAATAATATAATATTCAGGATTTGTGTAGTAGAGAGATTGCCAACTTTCTATTTCTTGCAAGTAGATGTTTTAAATTGTCCAATCGTCCATTCTTTATCCAGTTTTCCCTCGATTATTGCATGTGCCCTCTCCTTGCCAAGGGTTGTGCCTGTGAGTTGTATGCCCAAATTCCTTTTTCTAGTTCCTACTGAAATCTCATTGTATAGATGACATTCCTGTTTTCATTTTACTCCCCGTTTCCTCGTTCAGCCTCTCTGTAAGTGACCACTGAACCATGTTCCTTTCTTTCCTAACCTCCACAATATGTTTCACAGACTGCACTCTGCTTCTTTTACTGTAAGAAGCAGAATTTCCACTTTCATTGGTTTTTTTCATCAACAAAGCTAGTGACTAGAGCCACTGGGTTTCTTATAATTATAACTGTTTTAAAACTGAAAATTTTGCTTACGTAATAGAAGTAATTGAATGTGAAATACTGGCTTTGACTCTAAATATATTACGCTCCATCAACACAATTGAGATAATTTAGGAGTTGCCCACAATGCCCCTTTTCCAGCAGATTAAGGTATTTTTCGTCCCATTTTACATAACACGACTGTATAGTAGAGACAGGTCATACCTCCCACACAGGGAAGATGTTAAAGTGCTGCATTGTATTTTCAAACAAGGTTCTTCCTCTGCTCTATCCAAAAGTGATAGCAACTGAGCTGACAGTTTACCTTATGATCAAGTTCAATTCTTTTATATAGATTTCAATACTTTGGTGGTTAGAGGGCACTAGTGGTAGATAATTACTTCTTTATTATCTTTCTGTTGTTACGGGCTCTCTGTCCTGCGGTTTCCTGCATGATACGGCTTTTAGTACGTTGTTGATAGATTTCACACTTCAGCCGATTTCTGAACCTGGATAAATTTCTGTACTCCCATAGTAAGGTGCTTGGATTTCGTAAATCTTTAATGAAGACAGCACTTGCATTATGTTTTTGTTTTGAGATGAGATGCAACCTGGGGGACATGGTTGTTTTCATGCCCGAACCTACTATGTCCTCATTCATATATATATATATATACATAATCATATAGGGTGCCTCTTTATGATGATAGCAATAACAATATGCTTTTGTTTATCATCTATTTCACTGTGTAATGCTCATCTTCGGAATAAAAATGACCGGAGCCTGAGCCTGTTCAATTTTTGCTCGTGAGTGTGATGATAAAACTCAGAAGTTGAAACTGTTTGGAAGGCAATAGTAACATTAGCCTGTGGGAAAACACGATAAATAATTTTATTTAAAAAAAATAAATTTCCCCCCTCTTCTTTTCTCTTCCCTCTTTCTAGGAGCCGAATGTTTTCCTCGGGTCATGTGCTGCAGACGATCCTCCACGTGGTCCAAGTGTTCATATCCTACTGCCTCATGCTGGTCTTTATGACGTACAACGTGTGGCTGTGTCTGGCCGTCGTGCTGGGGGCAGGCATCGGCTACTTTGTGTTCGGCTGGAAGAGAGCTGTGGTGGTCGACTCGAACGAGCATTGTCACTAGTGGCGTGGGAAGGATTGTGTCACTAGTGATATGTCAAGTGTGTGGTGTCATTAATGACACGTAGGGTGTGTTGCTGGTGACATGTAGACATGTATAGAGTTGTTTTGCTATGAATGATATCTTGAGACTGTTGTGTCACTCGTGATGTGTCGAGTGTGTGGTGTCATTAGAGACACGTTGAGTGTGTTGTGTCGCTTGTGACACATTGAGAGTGTTGTGTTGTGTTGCTAGTGACATGTAAAGAGTGTTGTTTTGCTATGATATGTCGCGAGTGTTGAGTCACAAGTGACATCTAAAGAGTGCTGTGTCACTAGTGACACGTGGAGAGTGTACTTTCGCTTGTGAGAAGTAGAGAGTGTCTCGTCGTTTTGGGACATTAGGAGGGATGTCTTGCTAGTAACATAGGGAGTGTTGTCTTCCTCGTGAGATGAGAGTGCCGTGTGTCAGTTAGTGATGTCTGAACTTTGTGTTGGTAGTCACAACAAAATATTTTGTCACGAGTGACGCCTGAACACCCTCACTTATGGTGTCTGTACATCATTGCCACTAGTGACGCCTAACCATTGTCACAAGGCATGCATCGACACTGTCAGTGGGTTGTCCAGGTGTCATTTCACAAGTGACCAGTTACAATGTCTGTCATTTTTCCCCTCACCCCCCTCTTATCCAGTTCAATGTGGGACCACCAAGAAACCTTTTACCTTTCCAACAGAACTATAAGGTTTTCTGCTGTACAATCTACCCAAACTGACTGAGAAAAGTCATACATATTTCATGTTTTATCTCGGGGTTGCATTTTTTGGCATTTTGTTTGTTTAAAAAAATTGTTTGTTTTTTTGTTTCATTGATGAGTTTCAGGATCTTGTTGTCTTTTTCTGTGGGTGGTTGAGGAGGACATAAATATTTATGTGGAACATTCTGTAATGATTTTAAAAGCTTCTTTGAAGTTATTTTAATGATAAAGTAAAGTTGTGTCCTTGCAAAAGCGCTACTTGGATCAGTGTGAAAATTTACTGATCTGATGTCTGCGGTTTACAGTTTACAATGAGGTAACGGCAGTGACTTTATGGCATTAAATTTGCGTTTCGCTGTGCATTCCTTTCAGAGCAGCAGTGAGTCATCTAATAACAAAAACTTCATTTACATTGTTTCTGATATTATTTTAAATCAAAGCAGTCCAATAGATGTTTATACTGGTCATGTTGAAACTGTTGAAAAGTGTGGTGGAAAAATATTCACCCTACTTACGGAAGATCAACAAATAAATATGAGAACCTCATGTCTTCCTTGTTTAAAATCTAATCCTGATAGTTTTACCTGAACATATATATTTATATATAATATAATGATAATACTAATCATTTTTGGAACTTTTTTCCAAAGCTTGTGTCGATGTGTGAAGTGAGTTTTAGAAAAGTGCTAGGCTGCAACCTTCCCCTTCACGATTTTTCTCTATTGTGGTTTAACAGCATCAGGTTTAGCTGTTTTTGCATGCTTGTTCACGTACTTGTTGAAAAAGCCAAATAGAATTATAGAGAAATGTAGGATTGCTTGTTCATAATATGTTGTTGGTTTTGTTTTTCTATTAAAAAAACAACCAACTCAGTTTGTGATAAGGAATGTTGGCCATAGATATGAGAAAAAGGAATTAAGTGCTTAAGTGCGGTTTGTGTTATTGTTGACTAAATGTCTGCAGGACTGAGGAGTGAGTGAACTTCTTATGTCTGGCAAGCCGCTCCCAGTGGCTCGTGTTCGGAACTGCTGTGCCGGTGAGCAACCGGCAACGGCTCGGGCACATTCATTTATGACTACAACGTCAAATTACTTTCCGGCAGTTGCCGAAAGCAGGTCTCTTTTGCTGGGAGTTCATCATGACCAATTATATAGTGATGCATATATGTCAATTTTATATTTCGTACCAAAAGAGGGCCCCTTAAAGATGAAGATTTAACCCACCCCTAAAACTGTGCTCCATAATGCTGACCTATCTGAAGTGGCTTTTAGTATTGGGGGTCCATCTCTGAGATATCCTTACTTTTAATGTGGATAGAGCTTGTATCACTGAGGTTTTACTAGGCGTAGATAGAAAGAAATGTTAGCCTTGTTTGTCTTCTTTCTTGATTTTATGTTGGATAACATTTGTTCAATGTTTCTGTGTTGGTTGTATATGTTTGATAATTTTGTGTATCTTTTTTGGTAGTATTTTTTTTACAAATATCTGACTTTTATTTTTTACCCTTTTAGCTAGCACAGGCAGGTTTTGTCCCTTACCCACCTCTGAAATAGAGAGCTCTGTGCTCATGTCTGAAGTAATGTTTGTGGAGAGGCAAAACTATGTATTTCTATGATAACCATTTTGGGTCGGGCGTAGTTGTGTTTTTTTCTTAAAGAAGTGATATTATTTCATGAAATTAATAAATTATTGTGGCCTTTCTCGATGATAGGCCAGCAGTTTTGTCAAGAGTGTGTTAATTCCCAGAGGTCTTTCAGATGCATGTGTGAGTTTTGTAACTCTTTAATTATTTTAGTCTTTATGGTAGCTGAAATTTAAAGCGCAGACGTTTAAGTTGAGGGTTTGTCTGCTTCTCACTCATCTTTCTCAAACATATTTTAGTAGACTTGTGTCTCTCTCTAAAAGTTACTATCATGCAGTCACCCTCCTATGAGGATTAGGAGTAGTTTCTCTCATGCCAGGAGTCAAAGATAAGATGAGATGAGAAGAGATGATAAAGATAAAATAAGATATTCTTTATTGTTCAGACCTGGCTCATTGGTTTGGTGTTTCACCACGTGCGCGCACACATGCACACCCGCGTACCCATACACACACACTCTCTCATACATCCTCACCTCAACACACATCTGTGCACATACACATAAATGATATAATAGTGTGCTTGCGCTCACAAACAGGCTCACAGTCACACTCAGTTCATTTAAAAAGAAGTATTACGCATCATCTGTGAAGGGGATGGCTGGTTTTGTGTATTATAATGATTAAATTATTCTATTAATATTTCCTCTTTTGATGGATTTCTAGCTGTTGAATTAGCGTGAATATAGTTGAAAACTTCCTTGTCTACTGTTTCTTTTTCATATATGAGAATTGTTGTTTTTGAAAAAGAAAAAGGCCCCCATCTTTTTGTATCTTTGTACACGGGTAGGTTTAAGGTTTTTAAGAATATTTTATATTTAAAGATTTTTTTTTTGGGGGGGGGGGGCGTATTGAACATATCAACTGGGAACAGGGTTTCATACATGGTGTAACAAATATTAATGGGTTTTTTTTTCTGTAAAATTATCTTTGCAGCATTCAAAGTAATCAGCTTTGTCTTACAATGCAGGAGAAAGTGTTACTCAAGCCTTTTCAGTGCTGCCCCTTGTGGTGAAAACTGGGGAAAAAATCAGCTTGAAGGTGTCAGTTTTTTATGTGCAAAGGGACATGGTTACTATCCTTTAATGGCCCTTTATGATTGCAGACTCTTGCAGCATTTTTTGAGACGTTTGTTGGAAATGTTGGAGTTTTATATTGCTGGCCAGCTGTCCAGATGTACTGAGCCCAATATTTCAAATTAACTGCTGTTTTTTAATCTATAGTAAAAGTCGCATGTACTCAAGAAATATTTTGTTGAAATTCAAATTGTAAATGCTGACAAAAGCAAAAAAAAAGACAACTTCAACGTAATGTAGGTGCGATTAAAAAAGTGTTTTTTTTCTTTCGTGAAAAGTTTAGCTTTTTGGGCTTAGAACATTTGCACTGCTTGTTGACAATATGGAGATTATAAATGAGTTTTGAGTTCATTGATTGTTTTTCATGTTATTGTTAGCTGCCTCTATACTCTATGCATTAAACAATTGAGAGGTTGTTTGAATATTAAACCTAAAACTTTCTCCTGCACACCTTGGAAAGACGAATCATGGAATAAGAAATTAAAAGAAATATTTTTATCCTCTTTTTAAAGAAACGTGTGTGAACTTGGAAAATGGCTGTGAATGTTGAGAATTTTATTGATGTCAGCCTTTCATAAAATTATGGATAAAGCAGTTGAGGAAGAACAAAAGATGAAACAAAATAAAAAGCACAGAAAAAACTAAATCAAAAGAAGTTGATGTCACGTTATTACAAGTGCACATCGTGTATGTTTATGTTTATTTATTGCATATGGCAGGTTATACTTCTAGCTGCATGGCTGTCTGTCTCAAAAAAACCCTTTCAAAATGTTGTTGAGCAGTGTGCAAAACCTGAAACGGGATTAATTGTTTTTGACAAGGAGGATGAGCTCCCTTTTTATACTGGTGGTCTGTTTGTTGGCTGCCTCCTCTGGTTGGGAGTAATTGTTGTCAGCAAAAGAATGAGTGGAAGCAAACTGTCGCATTCGAGCGTGAGGGAAACTCTTTGGCCTTTGTTTGTTGTAGTTGTTTTTGAATTTGAGCATTTTGACACCAGTTTATTGTGCTTTTTTGACTTTTGAGTTTTTGTTGAACCTGAACTCGTCGTGACAAAAATAAAGTTATAGGATCTGTGTTACGGTCAAGTCGGTTCCAAAGTAAAAAGATGGGCAAGGGGATGCTAATTCTTTTTTACCTGTCCTGATGTAGACAGGACTGAAGGTGAGAGTGTGCGTCACGTTTCTTTGCCCATATCTTATGAATTGTTCTATATTATCCATAATCAAAAATACATAGAGGTCACACAATACTTTTGTTAATATTTTGCATTGAATCCTTATCGTTTGTTTAAACTTCAAGTGGAATTTGAAGTATATTGTATTTTGAAACTTTTTTGGGGTGTAATTTAGAAAAGCATCAGGTTCTTTCAGCTTGTTCCTAGCCTTTTCAGAACGATCTGGAAGGATGGGTGGTTGGAAGAGGGCGCTCTGTTGTGGTTTGCCCATTCTTTCTTATCAAACATCCAGTGTCCTCATCTCTCCTATTTTGAATTGCAGTTTACTTTCTATTAAAGCTTCCTAACAGTTGGCACTTATGTGACCTAATTTTGTTGCAAGTACTGTAAAACTCTAAACTAATGAACTAATTATAAATAGAATGACTTTAGGGAAGTCTGCGACTTTTTTCCTGTTTCCATTGTGGCCTCCATGCGGTCGACTTGTATGGAATGTCTTGATTTTTCTGCACTGATGAATTGCCCTTCACAGCATGGGTGGTCTTGACAGACAGGACTGAATCATCTCAACTCCTGAGTGAGTAGAATTGCTTTGACGGGGGTGTCACACAGTTTTAATTGATCACAAAATGTTTTTTCTTGGGTTTGAGCCCTGTGGAAATAGAAACATCACGCTTATTGGTGAAGTTTTTACAATTTAAAAGTACAAAGTGATTAAAGGCATTTCATACTTAAAGAATATGGCATCAATAGAAAATCAACAAATTTTACCCGGGTATGGATTTTTGGCCAATATCTCCATTTGTGGATTGCGAGAAGTAACTCATTTTGTCAGCAGGCCTCACATTTTAAGTTGGTGATACTTTTTCAGAAAGTTGAAAATCTTTTCCTACTGTTTTACGATTCTAAATCCTGTGAGTGTTGGAAGTCGCTGAACAGCATTTCAGTGTTAAAAACTTTCATTGCTAAAGTTTATTTCAAGTTCAAGTGTAAGACTCCGCTGTCGCCATTTTTTGAAATGGCGTATGATGGAGGCTTAACACTGAGCAGTAGGTTTGCAATATCTAAATTTTTGTACGACCTTAACTAGGAGGAAATGTATGGTCAGTACATTTACCTGTGCAGAATTGGAGAAGTACGAAAACCCAGAATTCTCAGAATGTTTATGCTTTTGTGCATTGGTCGTGGTGTCTGTGATGTAAATGTTTTTAAAAAGGTGAATGTTCAGTCACAATCGTGAATAATTGCCACCTTGAGAGTGGTCTTCTTAAGTGCACTTGAGGTCAGTTATGACTTTTTATATATCATGGAATAAACTCTGTCTCGTCTCTTGGCCTAACACAGGTCGAGCCTGAAAGTGGCTGTTTTGAAGGATTTTCTCCAAATCGGAACAAACATTTTATAATTCTTTATTTAAAAAAAATTTAATTCTTAGTTTTTAATTTTGTGAAAGCTGAAAGTCCTTATTTTCTTGAAACTGCTAAATGTGGAGTTAATCTGCTCTTATTCCTTTGGATACAGTTTCAGACAGACATTCTCTCTTTGTTTTTGCTTTTATGTGCTGTTATTATTGTAGGATTTCTTTGTAGCATAGCTTAATAACATTACCATAATAAGCAATGGTAACATTCCTCTCCCGCCCAGCAAACCTGCTTCATACTAATACAACATTATCCTGTATTCACGTAATAATTCCATTATGACATATACGCAGAACATGGAAGAATTACAATTGATATAGTGGAAAAAAGCCTGTTTGTACACTCCAGGAGTATGGTTGAACTAGATACCATTTTGATGCCATGTGATATGATTGCACTGATGCATTGGGTAGATTAAAGATGTAAATTTATGACATTATGCATAATCAAAATCCATGAGGTTTGTTTTCATAAAGTTGCATGTGTTGGACAGAAGTGCAGAGATAATAAATGATAACTGTACTTTAATATAATATAAATATTATATATATATATATGTGCACATGCCCTATATTATCCTATAAGAGAAGTGTTCTTGAGGCAGGTACAGTTGAATAAATCATATTTTAATTCTAAGACACATTGTTGAGTCTTTTCTTGTTAGTGTGGGGGGAAAGGAGCTTCAGCCTTACACTCGGTAGGGAAGAAAGAAGCCTTCTATTTCTATTCTAGTTCTATTCATTTTTCTGCTCTCTTGTCTCTATATACCTTTATCCACAAACTTTGTTTTTTAGTTTTAGTAGAGGTTTTACGGCACTCGCAACTGCATAAGGTCATATGAGCGCCAGAAGATTAGAGGTGTTACAAGAGAGTAACAAGCATAAGAAAAAATAGGGGAGATAAGGACGATATATGTTTTATAGGAAAGAAGAAGCAAGCCACACCAGAGCACCCGCCAACCACCCACACAAACTTTGTGTCCAAGTACAGTACTATATATATATATATATATGTGTGTGTGTGTCACGGAGTGGTAGAATCATCAATTTATGGGCATGTGGAGTTAATGGTATCATCCTAAAGCTTGTCGATGTGTCTTGTTTTAGATGAAAACATTACCCCTCTACGCTCTGTAAAAATTGAGATAATATATAGCCTATATTTGCAATTGAAGGAGGTGGGGGTCACCCAGTTTCATATACGTAAAATTAGGGAGAAAGTGGCCGCCAAAGTTTGGTGACTTCCAAAGCTTGAGAGTCCTTGGAAATTGCAAATATGCATATTTGTGCCTTTGTTTGAACATTTATCTGATCAGCAAATCCACACATAATTTATGATAAATATCAAAGTGTGAGAGAAATGCTCAACTAAAAAAAAAGCAAATTAGAACAAAATTGCCCAAAGGCCATAAAAATGTTGATTTCTTTGATTTCATTATTTTGATGAGCACCTGATTTTATAATGATGCCATATTTATTAGACATATTATATTGTTTAAAGAATAGAATGGTATAATATTGTAGTAATGTGTTCTCGTTCCTTTCAAAACTGGATAGTCTTTAAAAGTGGGTTGTCGTGGTTGCTCGTTTTCTCTTTCTTTCTTAAAGAAATATCTATATAATTATAGGTCTCTCTTCCTTTTTTTCTTCGTTACTTTCAATTAACACGTCTAATTTAGTCCGTTAGTGTTACATGACCAATTTTTGTTTCCTGAGGCGTTAAACTCTTTACTTACGGCTCTCTTGGTCTAGAGGTATGGTGTTCACTTCTCATTCATCAATAGGTCCCGGGTTCGAAACCTGATAGCTGTAGGTGGTCGGCGGGTGCTCTGGTATGGTTTACTTCTTCTTTCCTGTCAAACATCTGTCGTCCTTATCTGTCCTCCTTCTTTTTTGTGTTTGTTACTCTCTTGTAACACCTCTAATCTTCAGCACTTATTATATGACCTAATTGTGTTGCAAGTGCCGTAAAACACTAAAACTAAATCTAAACCTGATAGCCGGTAGTCACGCAAAATTTTCTCCTTTCACCTCCTTTCCTGTCTGCCTATGTCTCCACTTTCTGCGTCGCCCCTTCCTTTGGACTCCTTACTCTTTCTGCAGCCTTTCTACTGCTACTCCTTGGTTCCTTCTTACTGCCCTCTTTCAGCCAAACCCTTGATCTTAGGGTAGGCACGATGTAACACCTAGCCTTCGCGGATAAGGGCGGAAAAATCTCAAAAGTCATATGTGCAAGTTGTGCATGTTAAAGATCCCTTGGTGGTCCTAAAATTGATATGAGTAGGCTTAGGCCATCACCCGAGCAAAATTCAAAATCAATTCCTACCAAACTGAAAATGCTTGATGTGTCCCCCATGCTCATATATGACCTTGCAGTTGCGAGCGCCATAAAACACTTACAAAAAAAGCAAACAAAAACAGAAGACAGAAGAACCCGCTTAATTTAACTAAAACTATAGGCCTACAAAAGCGATTAAAATTTTTAAATCAGATACCAGATTATTTTTAAGGTTGTTGCTGAACTCCACGGGCGATTAATATTATCATTATCAGCAGTGGTCACTTGACCTTGTACAAAATAAAGTACCTCTAATTAACTCTTTTTGTGCCCCGATTAATTGGTAGTGAGCAGTAAAGAGAGACAGTAAAAGGAAACTTAACACCCCACACACACAATTCATATAACCAAACACAAACACCCAGACTCTCCCCTCTTCGTGGGGTCAAATGTGGGTCTTTGTAACGTTATGGGCGAAAGATACTTTAAATATTTCATTAATTTCTATTTTGTATGAAGGTGTTTTGCGTCTCCCGTTGACTTAATTTAGATCGTTTAGGAGTCCGGCTTCCAACCCTGCATGTCAGGCCTAACCAGGTTGAGAGGGATACAACATCCCAGCAGAAAGACGGAGAGATCCTTGATAAAAATTTCTTCCCTTTCAGAAATTGAACTCGGGTCTCCTGCTTTCGACAGCGAAGCTCTCAACTGTCACACCACAGACAGCGGTATTCTATGAATGGGGGGTTCGAAATTTTACTTTTACCAGAAAGGCACTCATGATGTATTGTGCCAGACACCGGCATTTTTTAAAGCATTTATTGCAATATTACCCAGTTCCACCTGACAGACTTTTCTGATCATACTTCAACATCAATGTGTGTTCGAGACCGGAAGAAAAACCTTCTCCCTCCAAAAACCAGGCCTTGGGATGGCTAACATACCAACTTTAGAAAGCATGCTTATCTTTACCATGATAAAATGATTCTTAGATATACAGATGTGTTATGTGTGTCCACTGATCCTCTCGGAAATAAGGTAAGAAATTGAGGGGCTCACATGGTCTAGGGGTATAGTGTTTGCCTCTCATAATCCCGGGTGCGATACCTGATACTGATAGCGGTGAAAAAATTTTCTTTCACCTCCTTTCCTGCTCTTTAATCATACTCTGTCATCTCATTTTATCTCCACTTTCTGCCTCCCCCTCTTTCCCCCCTCCTCTGGGCTCCCGACTCTTCCTACTGCTACTCCTGGCTCCTTACTGCTGTCTTTCAGCCACACCCCTGAACTTAGGGTAAGTAAAATCTCGGGGGACCCATGTGCAAGTTGCGCATGTTAAAGATCTCTTGATGGTCCTAAAGTCGATAGGAGTAGGTTTCTGCTGCCATCCCAGCAAAATTCAAAATTCCCAACAAACTGAAAATACTAATGTGTCCCATGCCCTCATATGACCTTATGCAGATGTGAACACTGTAAAACACTTTCCAAAACAAACAAAAGGTAAGAAATGACAAGAATAACAGAGAAAGAAAAGTCTTTTATCTAGAATATATTGTAAAATATATTAGTGTACTATCTCATAGGAACAAACAAAAAACAACTGGGAAACTATTTGTGTACAGATTCAGAAGCCGTCATTCCCAAATAATTTTTCAGCGCTTGGGATAAACAGCCTCTTCAGTTCAATGAGCAATACTTCATTTAAATAAAACAGTTCAAAAGTATGTGTTGCTGTAATGTAAATATGTTTAAATATGCAAACCAAGTCACAAATTACTTTTGTAATTGACACACTTACACAGCCAAAAGAATATTTCATTTCTTTTTTCAGGAACATAATCCTTCACTGCCAGATGTTCTGATACCCACCCCAAATTTCCCTTATGGATCAATAAAGTCTATCTTTTCTTATATCTGAACTCTCTTGTTTCTACTCGACTTTAATTCCTCCAAAACCTATCACTGGTAAATGTGACCTTCCTACAAAAACCTTTCTCTTCCTAGCTCTCCTTATCCTTTCTTCACTCCTCACTGCTGACCCAAAATCTCCCATACTGACCTAACCCTTCATGAGTTTTCGCAGGAAAAATTAGTCTACCATTCATACACGCAGGGCGAAATATGTACATATAGATCTAGCAAACAGATGTTCAGGTCCTGAATTTTGTCTTACACACATATATGTCATGACGCGGTGGAATCAGTCGCTCGTCAAATTTGGGTCATGTCGAGTTATTGGTATCACCTTCAAGGCTTGTTCATTTGTCTTGCTTTCGGTGAAAAAAATACTCTTCTATCTTTAATAGAAGTCGAGGTATTTGCGATTGAAGGGGTTGGGGGTCGCTTTCATTGGTCAAATTGGTGATAAAATGGCCCACAAGTTAGGTGACTTCCAAGTCCTAGATAGTCCTTTGAAACTTGCACAATTACTTTTTTTGTGCCTTTCTACTACATTTTTCAGTAACACCCACACAGAAATATGCCCATAAACGGACATAAAATATTTTGAGCCAAAAAATAAAATTCGAAAAAATTGCCAGAAAGAGCGGGGAAACGCCGCTTTCTTTTATTTCATTATTTTGACGAGCGTCTGATTTAACCAAGCTGCATCACATATATGTGAGGCATCGTGATGAAATCAGGCGCTCGTCAAAATAATGAAATCAAAGAAACCAGAATTTTTCTGACTGGGCAATTTTTAAAAAAATTCTCTTTTTCTGGCTCAACATTATGACATTTTAAAAACACATATTGTGTGGATTTTACTGGAAAAATTTTGATTAAAGGCCCCCAAAAATGTAAATTAGCAGTTACCAAGGACACTCAAGCTTTAGAAGTGACAAAACACCAGACATTTTCTCGCAAATTTTACCTCTGACACCAGGCAAACCCCACCTCCTTCAATCGCAAATATCTCAATTTCTCTTCAAGAAAGATTGGTATATTTTTTTCTACAAAAGCAAGCCAAAGGAACAGGGCTTTAAGATTATATACTAATAACCCCATATACCCAAAAAGTGACGAGCGGCCGATTCCACCACGTTGTATGTGACACATATATATATTCTTCCTATTTGAAATACATGCATAGCAAAATTTATATATAAAGAAAAAATTTCCACGTCCCATAGATTTTTCTATGGATGTCCACCCTAGACTGTATTCCACTCAGTCACTTGGTTATCATACTTGTAATACAGCAGCACAACAGTTGTAACACGTTTAAGCTTAACAAATTTGTTGTAGCCGACATGACAAACAGGACATAAAGATGAATAAAAAGCTCCAATAAATAAAGCAAGGCACATAACCCTAGCTTAAAGCCTTGGAAACCAAAGCCTGTCTGCGTATAGATATATTATTATGATGTACTCACATGACATGGACTAAACTAGAATGATACAAGAAAAGAATCAGTGTTTTTAATAGTGTCTGTCATACGTGGAAAATTCTAAAGAAGAAGCTGTCTCTGCTTAAAGAGGGTGCACACAATGCTGTTCATCAAAGCTGGAAGCAACATTTTACTATTCAGCTCGCAAATTGTCAGCCAGCTGTTCAGATGTACTAAGCCCAAAATTTTGAAAATATTTTAAAAATTGCAGTTTCTTAATGTGCGTTATTAGTTGCATGTGCTCGAGAAATATTGTCGAAAAAGCCAGCAAAGATAAAATATTTTTCTCTCCTGAAAAAAAATTGTTTTCTATGTTTAGAACAGTTGAAGAGTTTGATAATGAAATACTCCTGAAACTGACATAAGAACACAGCAGAATAAAGGTTCAGTGATCCAGTTCTAAATATCTTATTCTTAACCTATAGTTTCAAGGAAGCTAGTGTCTCAAGAGAGTCAGGGAGGGACAGCAACCTATGTGGAAAAGCCAGGAGAATATCCAACGAGATAACTGGGATCATCAGCAAGCCAACCCTTACATGGATCCTGGAGAGAAGGGAGGAGCAGCTATGGCATTGTACTGTCTGCAATGATACCCATTCTCCTACCACGTAAGGATAGTTTTAGTACAAGTTTTATGGCACTTGCAACATATGATATTTAAGTGCTGAAGAATTAAATGTGTTACTAGACAGTAACATACAAAGACATGAAGAAGGAGAGATAAAGACGATAGTTGTTTGATAAAAAAGGCAGAGCAGACCACACCAAAATGGCAAAAAGCTCACCACTGCCAACACAGCTGATAACAACAGCAAATGTGAGAGGTTATCGTGAAATCAGGCGCTTGTCAAACTTATGAAATTAAAGAAACTATAATTTTTCTGCCCTTCGGAGACTTTTTAATGATTTTTGTCCTTTTTGGCACAATACCTTTCTGGTCTATTTAAAAGCACATTTTGTTGTTCTACTTAAAACTGGCAATAAATAAAAAACAAAAAGAAATTTAATTTACAGTTTCCAAGGACACTCAAACTTTAGATGTCACCAAACTTTGGTGGCCACTTTCTCGCTAATTTTACCTCTGATACAAGAGACCCCAACCTACTTCAATCATAAATATGTAGACTTCTATTTAAGACATATACAGTGGAACTCGGATTTAACGAGCTCGGATTCAACGAGAACTCTGATTCAACGAGATGAGATAGATTCCCCGTTTTTTTCCTTCTTTGAAAGCAATAAAAGCAACCCGGATTCAACGAGCACTTAAATCAGCGAGCTCGGATTCAACGAGGTCGCTTCCAGGGTGAACAGCCCCCGCAGACGTGGCTTCGTTAATTTTCTCCCAGAACAAACTTTACCTATTCCCAGAAACCATCCTTTGCACCTGCATCATGAACCATTATTCACTTAGCCGATTGCATGCGACCAATCAGCGGCCTTTTAAAATACCAACACGTGTGTTGTTGGCACGCGTACGTGTCTACTGTGGCGTGTGTCGGGGTCGGATGGGCGGCCTGCACACGTGTGGCTGTGTGTGCGTGTCGGGGAGGGGCACTAGCGGTCCGGGCGTTGAACGTCGCATATACAAACGCGTCAGTCTTTTTTCCCCCCGCAACTGATCATTATTACAATAATAAGCTAGTCTTGAGTTAGATCTGCGTAATGAATTGTGCGCTGGTCAAGGGAATCAAAAGTTGCCGTATGCTAGGCTCTACACAGCAACACAACTTTTTCTTGGTAAACAATCGAGATGACACAGGCTTGTGTATTTGAACGAATCAGTCTTTTTTTTACACAGCTCATAATATGCAGGCATTTCAGGCACTACTTGTGACTTCTCTTTATACATTATTTGCTCAGTGCCTGTAATTATCTACACAAAACCTCGTGTTTGCTATAAAAATAACGAACACTAGAATTCAACGAGATTTTCGGCCAGGCCCTATGACCTCGTTGAATCCGAGTTCCACTGTTTGGGTTTTTCTCACCAAAAGCAAGACAAAGTAAAGGAACACCCTTCAAGACGGTACCAATCACTCCATACGCCTAAAAATTGACGAGTGCCTGATTCCACTGCAACCTGACACAAACATTTTACATCTAGATCGGATCACAAGTAGGGAGAATACATCACTACAAGTAAGTTCAACTTTTCTTATTTGAGAACATTGTATCATTTCTACACCCTTTTAAAAGTAAAATTCAATCTTCCTTATTTGTAACACCCTTAAAAGTAAAACTCAGTCTTCCTTATTGTATCATTTTGACACACTTTTAACTGCAAAGTCAAGCGTTGTGTTCTGTCACTCTTCAAAAAGCTACTTGAGCAAAAACATGATAGGCCATGGACAGCGTCGTGAACACTCCCACGAGAAAAGACAGCACACGAGTGGGCTGAGGGATGGAGAAGAGGTAAAAAAACGTGTGGAGAAATCTGCTGGCTGTAAAAATGCGGAAATGCAGTGATGCGGCAAACGTTGTGGGTCCTGTGGCGACGTAGAGAAGGCCCATCAGAACAAAGGGGATCACGTTTTCCAGGTCATTCTGGTGGCATCTGAGAAACAAAAATTACGAAAAAAATTTTTTTAAATTGGCAGCAAAATATATACCTACACTGGAGACACATCAATACCAGGGAAATACTTAAAGAGTTTGAGTGAGGTGTTCTAGTTTATCTTACCTAAATAATACCAGAGAAAATATAAACTATTTCTTTCTTTGAGATGGTATCCAGTCGAAGAAGAAGAAAAAGAAGAAGAAGAAGAAGAAGAAGAAGAAGAAGAAGAAGAAGAAGAAGAAGAAGAAGAAGGAGAAGGAGAAGGAGAAGGAGAAGGAGAAGGAGATGGAGAAGAAGAAGAATTATAAAAAAATAGAAATGATAATAATGATGAAGCTGATAATAATAATAATAAATAATAATGATAATATATAATAAAAGTAATAGTAATAATAATGATTATGATAATGATAATAATAATAATACCGTAAAAATAATAAAAGACAACAACAATTTAAAAAAAATAATGTTAATATTGATGAAGATGTTTATATTAATAATATATATGGATAAAAATGATGAAAATCACTTTTATAGCCCCTGCTTCCACATGAACACAACTAGCTATGCTAGAACGAAATTTCATAAATGAACAACACGGTAAATACTGGGAAAATTTATCTTTGCTCATATGTACACACATAAGAAATGACATATGAACACACTCATAGACACTTATTCATTCATGCATGCATGCATGCATGCACGCACGTATGCATACACACACACACACACAAATACACACACACAAATACACACATACACAAAAACACACACACACATTCTCTCTCATCACACTCACACATTCAAGGCACTGTAATTAGTGTTCTGCATACAAATATACTGTAGTACACAATCTTGGCCAGTAGTTGTTAGCTGGCTGAGGATATATATAAGGTTTACTGCCTTTATAATGCATGGTAATTTATGAGGATGCACCTCCGCAACATTAGCATAAATCTTTGATAGAAACAAACACAGTTGTTGAAGAACCTTGAAAATTCCCCAAACAAGTCATATGCTTGAACACTCCTTTACGGGTTTGAACTTGAGCCATCCTGCACCATAGTTCAGTGTGACACCAGCTCAGCTATTGGTGTGTATGAGGACTGTTGTGACAACAACAGTCGACTATGGATGAGTTCATGTCGTCGGGGGAGTAGTGAAAAATAGATCAAATCAACTCATCCGAAGTTCAACTTTACTGTTGGATACTGTAAAACAGGAAAAGGTGCTGAGACCCGAGAAAAAGATCGACTTAACCGAAGATCAATTCTAGAAGGTTCAAAGCAAGTGGAGTCGACTGTTATAAAAAAATAATTGTGCTTATTATATTTATAGAAAGGCTCGAAGAATAGAGTGAGAATGAATAGAGAAGTTATCAAAGGACTCCAGTCCTTAAAATACGTTCACATTCAAACTGAAATGAAAAGGGGATCATCATTACCGAAAAGAACCGTGGTCCGAAATAGGACTTCTGCTCCCCCCCCCCCAAACACAGTGTTTTAAAAAAAGGACTGCCGTTTCATAAGAATGGCTGTCAAATAAAGGACCTGAGTGTCATGGTCAGACTAGATTCTTGCGATCATGAACATATAAAAATCAGAAAAATATGTCATTCCAAAATGAAACTGAGGCACCACAAACAGATATTTTCTTTTTCTTTTTCAAGTGCCGAAGCTGAAAGAGTCATGGGTAATCATGGTACACCATTCATTCTCCCAGCAAAAAGGCTCTCGAAAAACCTACATTACTTAATTCAGTCTTTTTCCATCTACCATTTGATTGAATTCTTTAAGTAAGTTATTCTTGGCCTACCTCTGTCTCTTTTGCCTTTTACAAAAAAATTGTCGCTTGATATAGAAAACTGAAAAAAGTATCACCTTCGAACTCGCTCCACAGTTGGGTGAATCTGCGGGCCCTTATTTGTCTTTTTCTTGTCAAATGCAACATCCTCTTCATTAGCATATACCTGAAAAAAAAAAGGCAGACATTAACACTGAGGGTGAAAGGTCTTCCTTTCCTTCATCTTCTGTGTACTCTTGCTAGACATTAAGGGCTGTGTACGGAAGGTTAAGAGAACTGGTGAAGAATTAAGTGTGTTGGTTTAGTTTAATTATATAGTATGTTCGACAGGAGTGCTCAAGATTAGAAGTGCCAGCAGAGAGTAACATACAATTTATGAAGAAAGGAAGGAGGAGAGATAATAAGGATGCTAAATTGTACATGGGAATGAAGGAGCAAACCACAGCAGAATACCCATCAACCTCTAATGTTTGTTGGTTTCTTTGTCTATGCAATAGATGTAAAGTGAACCTATGAGATCATCTTCACAACATGAGAGGAAAAGTTTTTCTTTTGGTTCTGTTTTTGTGTTCCCTTTGCTTGCCCTCATGAGCAGGAGATGGAAGGTTGAGAGTACTGGTGAAATATTGAGTAGTCTTATGTTCATTTTTCCTGCGACGGAAGCAATTTGAACCTGAGAGATCATTACAATAATAATAATAATAGTAATAATAATAGTTAAAAATAGCATTTTACAGCGCATATCCCGCTCAAGAGCAAGCTCTATGTGCTTTACTCTATTTCATTACCTTAGCAGACCTTATAATGCCCAGAAACGGCTAATTAAGCACCTAAACTTTAACAAACCGACACGATCTTTCGTTTAAAAGAAAGAAATATCCATGAGTTATAACAGGAACAGGATCTTTTGCACTAGAAAAAAATAACATCAGTTTTAGTCTAGACGCATAATCCTTCTGGTCTGTCAGGTTTTTTCATCACTCAACATTCAAACCTCATTGCACCCCCCC